TCTACATACAGTCTTGTCTAAGGAGTAGTGCTTGTAGGTGGAACCCAGGACCAGGCCCACCTAGGTCTAGGTGTGCCCCCACCTGGCCCAGATTTTTATGTTCAAACCCTAATTTGTAGGTGCCAATTTAGCTCTGCCTGCTGTGACTGGCAAAGCAGGTTGTCTTGGGGATTGTCAGCTGACCTAGCTGGTCTCCTTGGTCCCCCAACCCTAGCCAGTGAATTTTCTTCAGGGGAGTTTGTAGTCCAGAGTCTTCAACTTCTATTTTTCACACTCTAGCCTGAGATAGAGGTGTGGGCGATGAGAAATCATCCACTCTGGGACATGATCGTGCGATTTCTCCCCTCAGGATTTTTGGGCACACACATGTGCCAGATATGTTTTTCAAGTGACAGGATCCAGAACTCAAATCATGAGCAGGCATGTGAATCCAGCATCTTAACTAACATGCCTGGGCTGGCCCCTCTGTAATTAATTTTGCTCTCTTCCAGTTGACATGAGGCTGCCAAGATTCCTTGGCCACCTCAAGGACATATCCTCCTGGCCTCTGATCCAGACCCCGTGCCTGCAGTCACCAAGGCCTGGTGCTTATCCTCTCTTGCTTCCAGGTCCAAACCCGAAATAGCAACAGTTCCTCCAGGCAGGAGAGGCATTGGCCATCCCCACGTTCCACCCGAGGCCGGCAGGGCCGCAATCATGTGGATGAGTCCCCCGTGGAATTCCCAGCTACCAGGGTTTGTTTCCCAGATAACCCAGAATCCTGCCTTCCTTGCTACACCCCTCGCTGTGGCGAGTTTATATGGCCTCGCTCCTTCACACTCACCTGCTTTGCAGGGTATTGCTCTGCCTTTTTCTCTTGGGTTCTGGGTGAGTTTCTCTACAGCCTGATTGCTCCTGTCCTGGCCTAATCTGAATGGAACATGGGAAATATAAGAAGTCCCTACTGACTGGGGTTCTTGTCCATTTTGGGAAAGTTCCACCTGGAAACCAAACACTGGATTTCCACAATTTCTCAGTATCTTCCACTGTACTGAGGCAACCCCTGTGGTTATAGCAACATGCAGTCGTTGCAAGACAGGGCCTCGGGAAGTGCTTATACCAGGAACTCTCAGCTTGGGTCTTCGAGCCACTCTGCATTGCTCTTTACTATCTTCATCCCCATAGTATCTCTGATCACAGCTCTGGACCTTCTCTCACCACATAAAGGATTCCTGCTTCTGGAAAACAATCTTCTTCGTGGTCTCAATTCTTAACTGCACTCATTTGGCTCACTTGGGAGGCAGTGGGGATACTAATCTCTGATCACCCACCTGCTTGGCTGCATCCTAAACTGTTCCTGTCCATAGTCCCTGAGGAGGCGGGCAACAACGTCTGCAGGTTCGCCGTGGCCATCCCCTGGGAGCCCTTATCTCACCATCGACCTCACAGATGATGATGTGACACCTCAGAGCAGCAGCACGCCCTACACCGGCCTAGCCCTGGACAGCCAGCAGGAGGGTGTGGAGTCGCCTCACGTGGATGCAGAAAGAGATGGAGATAGCACTGAGTACCAGGTACCATTATAAAGAAGGGCTTCCTGCCGCAGGGAGTGGAGGCACAAACCCAAGCCCTTTATTTCCCTAACATTAGGATCCTGAATATTTCCCATGTGCAGTATGTTTCTTGCGTTTTATCTGTTTTGCCTCTCAGAAGTCCAGCACTAGTTATTTGCAATCTGAATGCTGATTTTTTGTTTAACATTACCTATTTGTGTGGAAATGAGTACTGCATTTTGTAAACATAATTTATACATCATGTGATCCTGTTCACAAAGGTAGAATTGTAGACTGGATTTTTAACTTTATTTTCAATTTGACGAGAGAGGGACAGAGCATAAGAGAGAGGGAAACTATGAGGGAAAAAAGCCAACAGGTCCAGGAATGAAACCATAATCGGCTACTTGGAGTCCAATGCCCCCTACCACCACATGACCTGCCTGCCTATAAACTGGATCTATTTAACGGGCTAAAATCCAGAATTGCTTCATTTTCATGTCTTCATAGGATCATAGTGTAAGCAGATCTCTTTACACATGCACACATGAGAAGACTTTTAGCAGTTTATGGAGGGCCGCCAAGTGACTTAATGGTTAAGGCACTGAACTCCCACATGGCTGACCACGATTCTTGACATGGTTTTTCTTACAGGATGGGAAGGAGTTTGGAATAGGTGACCTCGTGTGGGGAAAGATCAAGGGCTTCTCCTGGTGGCCTGCCATGGTGGTGTCCTGGAAGGCCACTTCCAAACGCCAGGCCATGTCTGGCATGCGATGGGTCCAGTGGTTTGGTGATGGCAAGTTCTCTGAGGTAAGTCCATTTCAAGTCAGAACTGGCGTGTTTCCTCTGTATACTTTACAGCTGGCTTTTAAAGCTGTCAGCCTGTGCCTGCCATCTGGAGAGGGGTGAGTTGATACTAATACATGATTTGTCTGCTAGAATGGATTAAAAATATGTTCACCAGGTTAATCTGATACTTACGTTTATATGGGGCCAGAGCTCAATCTATTTGCAAAGGGGACAAAGAGCTAGCAAGTCCTCTGGACCATCACTGGTTGGATCTACCAAGAACAGCCACTTACACACTTGGACACCTGGGGAAACCTCTCCGAAGGTATTCAATAGAGAAGCTGAGAAGAAACAGTAACGCTGTCCATCTGAGTTTCATTTAGCTGTGGAGAAAGGAAAAAGGGATGTTTTCATCTCTGCCAGGTGCTAGAGATTGTTTTAAGTCAGCTGATAATCAGTTACAAAACCCTTTCCGTTTAGAATTGGCTATTCCTAAGACTCTAGATATTGACACAAGGCATTTCAAATTAATTTTTTTTTTGGGGGGGGAGAGGTTTTTTTTGCTATAGGGCATCACACCTAGGGTGGATGGCCATGCCGCAATCCCTTCTCCATTCTGCTCTCGGGATCCTGGGAACGCAAACAAATGTGCCTGGCATGATTTTAAGCCACTGGGACTTGGACTGGGGTCAACTACATGGGAGTCCAGCGACATAGACCAACTACTGGTCCCTCTAATTTTTCTCAAAGATTTTGAGGGGCCAGCAGGTGGTATAGTAGCTGATGGTGCAACCACAGTCCTGGAACTGGTGGTTTGCCTTCTCACTTTCTCTCTCTCTCTCTCTCTCTCTCTCTGTCTCTCTTAAATTAAACAAGTGGATAAGTAAAGAAAATAATTCTTTAAAGATTTTTTTTTTGATATCAGCATGTGTGCTGATTAGAGAGATAGAGACAGGAAGCAAAAAATCTTCTTCCCCCAGTGTGGAATAGCCATGCTGCTATCCTGGGATTGTTTTGGCTTATGAAACATGCCCAGTATGATTTTTCAAGTAACCAGCTCCAGGTCTTTAACTATAGTCATGGAAGTCCCGCGACTTGACCATTATGCCACCTACTACATCTCCAAATCAGTGTTTAGATGAGGATCTGCCTTCGAGTGCTTTGAGAGTAATTAGGTTGCTTCTTATATACTGTGTTGAAGATATTCTCACATCTCTAAAGGTATTAATAGGTACAGTGTAACGATAGTTCGTTGCTTAAAGAGGTCTCCTAGAAATATTACTGGAATTCTTACCACCTGAAGGTTTGACAGGGTATGTAAAGGAACAAAGTAAGCCAGAGTGACTGCAGGCTAGGCAGGGTGGAATGGAAGACCACATACATTCCTGGGATTCTGCTGCAAGTTATGGCTCTGGTTTTCTCATAATTGTACTTCTTTGGAATATTTGCTTAGAACACTTTGGAGTTTCCCAAGAGCAGGAATTGAGGCCATAGAATCTCCTTAAGAGGAAAGCTTCTGATTGCAGATGTCCCATTTGACCAGCAGAGGGAGAAGAACAAGTAGCTAGTCCTAGGCTGGCTTTGAATCTCATTCTAGGGATATGTGCAGTGACTTCTGTGAAAGAAAGATGGAATATTTATACTTGCCTTGGCCAAAGTGACATAAAATGCACTGTGGAAGACAGAGTCTCATTAACATTGTGGGATGAGAGCACAGTGTGGGCCTGGGTCTGTCTTGGCCAAGGGCCAACCCTTGGATTGGGCCCGCTAAACACATGCCTGCATATGCTGTCTTAGAGCCATCTGGCATGGGGCACATACCTGCGTATTGTCAGTTTTTCTCACCAGTGGGGCTCACCCTTCCTCATGGGAGGTCAGGGTCTTAGGTACAAAATGGAGATTATTGTGTGAGCACAGTAGAACATGGAACATGCTGTCTACCTTTGGATAAGGACACCTGAACACGCAGGCTGTGTTCAGACCCGTGGCCCATTCAGTTTGTGCGTTGACATGTAGGATCTCAGAATATGCGTCTAAGCACAGTCAAAAAAATCAAATAATTGTAATTAAAAAGCGCCTGCTCTGAGCAGGAAAGGGTAAACCCTAAAGTAAAGCCCTGAGAGTTGGAGCATGCACAGGGAATTTCAGAACTGACCTTCAGGGACCATGGCTGTTCCACGCACACAAATCCAGGGGACATAGTCCTGGATCTCACTCAGGGATATAATCTAACTGAAGAGGATGTTTGGATACTATGTGCTACTTCTGTTTCCTGCATTTTTCTTTACTATTGCATTGTTACCTGTGACCTTTGTCCCCAGAAATGGGCAGTTGGTGAGAATCTCCCCCACTGATCAGCCCTGAGACTTACTTGCCGCATCTCTGATATAGCATTGATGGATATTGATGTCTATCTCCTCTAGGTATCTGCAGACAAACTTGTGGCACTGGGGCTATTCAGCCAGCACTTTAACCTGGCCACCTTCAACAAGCTGGTTTCCTACAGGAAGGCCATGTTCCATGCACTGGAGGTAACATGGGAGTGAGAATCAGGCTGTTCTGAGGACAGGGATAAATTAAGAGACCATAGGTCACAGCGATGCCAGGGTTGTCTCAGGAAAGGGTAGCAGGGGTGACTGATTGAGAAGGGATTTGAACCCTCCCTGCTTCTCTCCCGCTGACTTCCTGATACTGCCATAACTCCTGTTTTAAAAATTTCTAATAAATTCCTTTTATAATGGTTTTCAAGACACTGGGTCTGGGTTTAACCTATGCTCTACCATGCAGGAATCAAGGGTCTTAGTCACCATCCTACCCATTTGTTCCAGTAGTTTCCTCTTGATGACTGGTTTCAGCACTGAAATCAGAAGGCGCAGCACAGGGAAGAGACAAACATCAGTGAATATACTCTCGCTGAGACCATAAAGCCTCCTCCTTTTCTGAAGTAGTGGATAGTTGGGGGTCTATGATTGAAGGTCAAGACCACTGCTTCCTCATGTCATTGGGTCCTGTCATCTTCAATGTCTCCTCTCTTGTCTTGATTTGGAACTCCATTGATCCAGCATGTAGGAGCCAATTTCTTTAACAGCCATGTTTAATCATGGAAATCCTCACTGTTCTTCTAGCCAGAGGCTTGTTACATTCTGATCTTTGTAAGGCAGAAGTCTGTTAATTTTAGAGAAAACATGAACATGCAGCAGAGATGAGACAGGTCTGGCAGAAACTTCTATACCTTGAAGTGACGCAGCTAACCAGTTCCTTTATCCTTTGAGAGAGGTGACTGCACAATTCTTCACATACAGAGATCATATTTGATGTCTGTATGTGAAGACTATTATCCCTCCTATGGTATGCCGACTGTCTCTGAACAGGCCCCTCCTTCAGCATGTCACATACCACAGCCCATGACAGCTGTCTTATGAAAGGGCACAGTATAAAGGGGAATGTAGGCCCCAGCTCAGGATCTCTGGGTGTGGCCTGGTAAGAAATCCCTCCCCCCCAGTTCACCACATACTCTGCCTTTATATCCCAGAAAGCCCGGGTGCGAGCTGGCAAGACCTTCTCCACCAGCCCTGGAGACTCACTGGAGGAGCAGCTGAAGCCCATGTTGGAGTGGGCCCATGGGGGTTTCAGGCCCACTGGGGTCGAGGGCCTCAAACCCAACAACATGCAACCAGGTGGGAATGAATCCCTGGGACAGCACCCCTCCACTGTTGTTAAGAGTCACTGTTAAGATATGCGACCTGCCCTGATGCCCCTTGGCCATCACCAACGTGTCCCACAGCCCAAATACATTCTGAAGCACATCTGCTTCCATTAGGAATACTAGGGTTGTAGGAAAAATGCCTGGTCACCTGGAAACCATGTCAGCCTTATGTGACTTCCCTGGTCACCAGTAAAGACCACATATACATAATTTATATGTTAAAATTTAAGTTAACATCAAATCAAAATGTGTTCTTTTTAAACAAATCTTTTTAACAGATCTTTTAAAGGAGAAAAATAAAATCATGAAAAAAACACGACCATCCTAATAATTTGACCAATACCTATTTCCTCCATCAGGGATGTGACTTACAATTAGTATACTTAATGTTTTCTTGTTTTGTTTTTTTCCTCCCAACCTGCAAAAGTGGTTAATAAGTCGAAGGTGCGTCGTGCAGACAGTAGGAACTTAGAATCAAGAAAATACGGTATTCCCTTGCCATCTTTTGACTATGCCCTATTTTCTCTGTTCTTTCCATTTCCACTGGACAATGATCAATTTTCTTAAGGCATCCTGAACTCTCCACCCCACTCTGAACCCTCACGCCCCACCCTCACAATCAACCCCAGGTTAACACTGTTGGGTGCACATCCTTCCAGGCCTTTCTCAACACTAATTGGATTCCTGGTTTCCCTTTTATATCAAAATTAATCATTTCATCACTGTTAATGTCATTTTCTTACTAAAGGATATTTAATAATTTTTTAAAAAGTGTTAATTTATTAAATTTGTTATTTAAAACATTTCTATAGAATAATTATCTAACTTTATCTCTAAGGAATTATTTAATTTTATTTATTCATTCACCTACTTTAATTTGACCAGACACAGACACACAAAGTAAGAGAGCAAGTCATCTGGTCCGGGACTCAAACAGTGGTCAGCCATGTTGAAGTGTCCAGTGCCTTAACCACCACACCACCTGCTGGTTCCATAACTTTATTTTTAAAATATTGCCAGAGAAAGATAGGCATTGAAAAAGTAAGGAGAAAGCGAAAGCGAAAACGGTAGCCCACAGGTTTGGAACTCAGACCATAGTTGGCAATGTGGGAATGCTGTGCATTTAACCACTATGCCACCTGTTGCCTTTGACAGTATTTTTAAAATTTGTTCAGAGAGAGTCGGTGAAAGTAAAATTGAGAAAGCAAGCTGCCAGGTCCAGGACTCAAACTGGACAACCATGGGGGAGTCTTCCCTTAATCACTATGCCACTTGCCCTCCCTGGTTCTCTTGTTTTTTTAAGGGCAATATAGTTTCTAGGGGCAACATTGAAGTTTAATATGGTCATAGAGATTCAGGTATATTGAATATACATAGTTCTATTTAGATTGGAGGACACATAATTAAATTTTTTTCTTTTTTTCTTTTTTTTTTGTTGGAGAGGTTTTTCCTATAGGGTGCAAATGCTCTCTAAGACAGCTAGAAATCACCCCTCAGGGGTGATGGCCATAATGTAACCCCTTCTCCATTCACCTCTCAAATCTTGCACACACATGTGCACACACACACACACACACACACACACGTGCACACGCACCTGGCGTGAATTTATGCCACCAGGTCTGAGACACAAACTGTTGTCAAAGAAATAGGAGTCTACTGACATAGCCATTACACCAACTTCTGGTCCCATAATTAAATTTTTTAATAGCCTCATTAAAAAGAATAATTTTACATTATACTTGATCCAGTATTTGCAATATAATAACAATTTCAACAGTACAAAAAATGAAATTTCCTACATTTCCTTTAGTGATTTCTCATCACATGTTTATTTTATAGATTTTTTTAAAGAGGTTTTCACTACAGGGTGCATGCGTTCGCCAGACAGACAGAAAGTGAGAAATCACCCCCCGGGGGAATGACCACGCTGCAATCCCTTCTCCATACTCCTCTCAAGATCTTGGGTACGCACGCACATGTGCCCAAAGTGAGTTTTAAGCCACAGGGTCTGGGACGCGAACCACGATCAATTCCGTGGAAGTCCAGCGACATAGCCATTACACAAACAGCTGATCCCACATGTTTATTTTATAGGTTTTATAACACCAATGCAGATGTTATATAAAAAGATTTAATAAAAATTAATAATTAAATTCATAAAAATTAATATTTGAAAGACAATAATGTCAGTTTTTAAAAATTTTTGCTATAGGGACCATTGTACTTCATAATGGTTATATCTCTATTCTCCACTGTAGTTGGCCACAGTTTGAATCCCAGACCTGCCAGGTAAAAACTCACTCAAGGCAGAAATGTGTTCATGCATGCCCAAAATCACGAGTACGACGGAAAAGGGACTGCGGCATGTCCATCATTCCTAGGGATGATTTATCAGCTTTATCTCTCTCTTGCAAGCATACACACCCAATACTAAGAATATCTTTAAAAGTTTTTTTTGCTATAAGTCATGTATACTCACCAGAGAGACAAAGCAAGAAACTAGGGTGAGGTGAGAGTTCACCTCTTTTTTGGCATCACCAAGACATAGTCCCTCCTCCAGTCTCCTCACAGGGTTTTCGGCATGCATGCACATGCACATGCTCCTGGTGATTGTCAAGCCATGGTGTCTGGAACTTAATGGAGTCAGCTTTCTGTGATCCAGTGCCTTAACTGACATACAGTGTTGGCCTACTAGTCAGTTTTGAAATTAATTTTAACATACAAGGTAAAGATAAATTCTTCTGTCACTAGCACATTTAAACTATACAAAAGCCACAAATGGCCTTTGGCTAGTGTGTTCACTTAAGTCATAAATGTATCAGGATTTGACCCAAGGACTAGGCATTGTGTGCTCTTTGAGCTGGTGTTAGGATTATTTAAAACATATAACATGTCAATCTCATGTGCCTGAGTTAATCATAGGTATTTTGTATGAGAGGTTTAAAATTGGCTCCTGTTTTTGAGTTCATGGGTAATAAATACCGAGTGTGGACCCCCTGTCATGCCCCAGGTGCCGCTGGTACCCAGGCATAGCATGGTCTCGTCCTGGGCCCACAGTCTCCCTGGACTCCCCTCCTACCAAGCCACGGCTGCCATCTTACTTTCACAGACAACAAGACTCGAAGACGCACTGCAGACGACTCAGCCACCTCCGACTATTGCCCTCCAGCTAAGCGACTCAAGACAAATTGCTACAACAACAGTAAAGACCGTGGGGAGGAAGATCAGAGCCGAGGTAATGGAGGCTGAGGAGGCTAAGGCCTTTCTCCAGTGACTGAAAAGGGGTAGATGGCAGACCTACACAAAACTAGCATAGTGCATGTAATTACTGACCTCTTCATACCTTCTTCCCCTTTTTCTTACAGAACAGATGGCTTCCGATGTTACCAATAACAAAAGTAGTCTGGAAGGTAACTTGCTCCCTTCTCATCTCGTCTCATTTCTGGCTATCCATGCTTTTTGTTTAACCACCAGTGTACCTTGATAGCAGGTGGGGACTGTTCTTTGGACCCTGAGCTTGAGCTGCGACACCTCACAAAATGATTGGCCTTTTTCTGCCCCATAAGTTGAGGAACATGAGATAGGCAGGCTATGGCCAGAATGAAAACTGAGGTAATTTAAGCTATAATAACTCAAAACCCGAAATCCATTTCTGCAAAACTGAGCCCTGCCGAAGAACTGGAACTGGGTTTCAGGCTGAAAGCAGACACCCTTCATCCTTGTGACTGGTGTGCTTGTCCTGATTGGCTGTTGTCCCTGAATCGAATACTAGGCACATAACAAATTTAATAGAATTTAGAATGTCGGAGGATAGTCACCTAAACGTCCCCAGGCTAATGTCCATTAGTCAACAAGTATTCCATGCAGTTTGTCAAGCCATGACCCCTGCACCAGAGAATCCTAGGGAAGCTTGGGATTGTCGAAGTCCCATAACCGTCCTTATTCCCCCAAGATGTAATCTCTTTCCTATTCCTGCTTCCAAAGTAGCGATAGTTTTGAGTATTATGGAGGTCCTGTCTGCGTACTTTGCAAATTGGATGTGAAGGAAAGAAGGGTAAACTATAGGATAAGGCTTGGTCTATATTTTCTAAAATGATAATATAGAGTGGTCATGTCTTACCACAAGACTCCACCACACATCGCACAATGTCCAGTGTTTCAAGGTTTTCAGATTTGCCATACCAGGCCCTCAAAGCATATCCCTCTGTTAAAAGAAGGATCAACCAGTGTGTTCTACTTCAGGCCTTTCTCATGGACAACCCTTTACCTGTCTATGGAACCTTCTACACAGTGTTGTCACTTCACATTCTTTTTTTTTTTTTTTAAAGTTATTCATTCGTTTATTTTTAGTTTGACCAGAGAGAGACACAGAGTGAGAAAGAGGGAACGTGAGAAAGCAAGCCGCCAGGTCCAGGACTTGAACCATCGTCAGCCATGTGGGTGTGTCCAGCACCTTAACCACCACGCCACCTGCTGGTCCCACTTCACATTCTTGAAAGAAGTAAAAGCAGGCCAGCATGTTCTATGTACTTAAAGGCACCGGAACCCCATGTGGCTGACTGCATAGTTTGAATCCAAAACCTGGTGCCTCAAGGAATATACTAGGTGCCTGCACTCACATGCCTGAAATCTTAGGAAGTGATAAGAACAGAAGACAGGGTACTGTGATATGACCACTCCCATCTCTCTGTGTCTATACCTTCTATGAACTGTCCAAGTACAAGTCCCCTTTGTCATTTTAAAAAACGAACCATGAAGAATACTTGGCAAACATTGCTGAGAGGGAAAAATTGAGAGCTGTTAGACCCAAGAAGACATTAATTGCCGGTGTAAGGACTCAAGTGTGACACGCCTGTCTTTCTTACAGATAGCTGTTTATCCTGTGGTAGGAAAAACACTGTATCTTTCCACCCTCTGTTTGAGGGTGGCCTCTGCCAAACTTGTCGGGTAAGTCCTCCTCTCTCACCCTGAACTTTGCTCGCCATCCTTCTTGCCCAAACCCCTCAATACTTCCCCCCAAAATAGTTCCTGTGTTGTATGCATTGGTGAAGCCCTCCCTGGGACAGTAACTCACGGCCCTTGCTTACTGGAATAAAGGAGGGTGATGTAGCAGAGGAATTAGTCTACAATGACATCTGCAAGTTGCTACTATAATAGACAAGCAGCCACTAGCGAATGAACCATGGCTCCATCCGAGGGCCGCAGTCAGGGAAGAAGCATGGCCTAGCCATCCCTGTACTCCGGTTTCATAGGCATTTCTTTGACTGCCAGGATCGGTTCCTTGAGCTGTTCTACATGTACGATGACGATGGCTATCAGTCCTATTGCACCGTGTGCTGTGAGGGCCGCGAGCTGCTGCTGTGCAGCAACACCAGCTGCTGTCGGTAAGACCTACTGGGCCCCCATGCAGACCATGAACTTCATGTAGTTCTCCGGTGACTGAGAGCTCAGTTCGCCTGGGTCAGGATGTTCTCAGGCAACCCTGGTCCGTATGGTTAGCCTCATGTTCAGGTTAAAGTATCGTCGGCGAGGGAGGCCAGGTCAAGGTTTGCCAACTGTGGTGCAATCCTGAGGGTATTTGGGAATTGGGATATTGAGAACATTTGTGTGTAAGTGACTGGGATTAAGGGGATGGGAATTCCAGGGCCATTAGAGCATCCACACCAGAACCCAGGGGAATTTGAGACAGTGGTTTTCCATTTCCTTGGGGAGATAAGTACACCAGGAGAGCACCTCTGTGGTTACATGGGCAACTGCTTCCTGTCCGGGCACAGGTGCTTCTGTGTGGAGTGTCTGGAGGTGCTTGTGGGCTCAGGCACAGCAGCAGAAGCCAAGCTACAAGAGCCCTGGAGCTGCTACATGTGCCTCCCGCAGCGTTGTCATGGAGTCCTGCGGCGCCGGAAGGACTGGACCATGCGCCTGCAGGCCTTCTTCACCAGTGACATGGGCCGAGAATACGTAAGTGTCAGGCTCCCTGCCCGACACCACCAGTCTTCAGGACAACACAGTGCCAGGAAGGCTGTGGAATTGGCATAACAACATTAACTGAAGTAAATGCTCCCTGTACAAATATGTCGCTGCTGTGAGCCCCAGAGGATGAGGGACCTGGCTCTCTGGCACCTCCTTTGCCTGCTTCTCAGGCGTACCCAGTGTTTGCATCTACTTGGCACTCTTCAAACTCCCCTAATAGTAGGGGAGTAGCTGCAGAAATAAAAAGCAATTGCATTAGTAAAGTTGCAGAGAAAGAGGTCACTGGGCTTTGTCACAGACTCTGGCTCTCACATCTAAAGGAAAGAACTGGCATCTGGGCCATGCATGGTGACATGTGGCCCCCCATCCCCCCTACCCCCAAGCCCTCACATTCCCCTGCAGCTCCACCACAGGGTTGAATTCTTCCTGTTCCTTTCCCTCCACCCCATGACATCCTCTTTGTCTGACAGGAAGCCCCTAAGGTATACCCTGCCATCCCTGCAGCTCGAAGACGGCCTATCCGAGTCCTGTCCCTGTTCGATGGAATTGCTACAGGTGAGTTTGGGTGCTCCTGGTTGCTCTGTACTACATTGCATGGATAAGCAGAAATGCTGGAAGCCTTGTCCACATGTCTGACACAAACACAGAAAAGATGCCTGGAGTTACATTTATGAACCTGTTCTGAGAATCTCTTCCCACAATTTCTCCACCTTATAATTGAGCCCCTTTGGTCATAAAAGAAATATAGGATGGGCCAGCAGGTGGTATGGTGGCTAAGGCACTGGACATTCCCACATGGCTGACCACCGTTCAAGTCCTGGACCTGGTGGCTCGCTTTCTCACTTTCCTTCTCTCTGCATGTATGTCATTTTCAAGTAAAATTAAAATAAATAAATGAATGAATAAATAAAATTAAATGAATAATTCTTTAAAAAAAGAAAACATCTGGTGACATATAGTTAAGGCTCTTCAAACATCGCTGACCATGGATCCAGTCCTGGACCTGGTGGGTTTTTTTTTCTTATATCGTGAACACACCTGCCCTATATAGCAAATTAAAAAATAAATAAATAAAATTACAGAAATCTTTTAAAAGCAGATAAACATTTTGCTGTCAGCAGAAGGCCCAGAGATTTAGTTGGAAAATTTCAAGTCATGAACCTGGAGGATTAAAAATCAGGCTGGACGCATGTGCTTACTTATCTAAAACAGGAGAATGAAGGAGAAGGTATTGTGACATGGCTATCCTCTCTGGTTCATTATTTCTCACATTTCTTGCCTCCATCTCTATCTCTGGTGAGCACCTTAAAAAAGGATATAGACTTTAGCTCTTGAATTTTCTGTTTTATGGTCAGCAGGTTTCTTATAAAGTTAATTTTTCATACAAATGCATAATACGTGGGATCAGTGAGGCAACAACTGCTGGCTCTAGTCTTGGTTACTTCCATGCAAAAGGGTTCCTCCAGCCACACTGGAAAGTATTACAAGAGCCATAAGCAGCGGAAATGCTCTGCCTATGCAGGTAGCATCATTCGGACTTAATATCTCCCGGACTCTCCACAGGGTATTTGGTCCTCAAAGAATTGGGCATCAAGGTGGAAAAGTATGTCGCCTCTGAAGTGTGTGAAGAGTCTATTGCTGTTGGAACTGTGAAGCACGAGGGGAATATCAAATATGTGAATGATGTGCGCAACATCACAAAGAAAAATGTGAGAACAAGGCGGGACCCTCATGTGGTCATCTTACCCAGTCTCCCCATCCCCTGCCCTTCCCCATCCATAGTGCACAGGGTTTGATTAAATCAAGTCAGAGCTTTAAGATGCACATCGAGTTGGTTCAGGATGACTTAGATCTTAGTGAATCCTGCGTAGTAGATATTTTAGATTCAAAAGTGGAACTTGTGAGCAATCAATGTTCTCCTTTAAGTTGGTTTCTTGTCTTTCTCCATCAGATTGAAGAATGGGGCCCATTTGACTTGGTGATTGGTGGAAGTCCTTGTAATGACCTTTCAAACGTGAATCCTGCCAGGAAAGGCTTGTATGGTGAGGATCCTTTATTCCTGTGGGCTCCTTATCCAATCTGGTGGTCCAGGTATCAAGGCCTGAGAACAACCTTGCTTATCAGTCCAACCTTACTGGTAGCCTCAATGGCCTATTGATGAAATCAACTGTACCCTTTGTTAACTCAGTGCAGAGCAGGAAAGGTATTAATCCACCATGCTAACCGCTTCCCCAGTCCTTGTTTAGTCAGAAGACAGGAGAATGTGAGGACAATAGTATGAAAATGTCAGAATTTCACTGATCTCAGGGAATGTGCAGAGTATGATACAGATTGCTTCATTTTCTTTTGTGGTTTTAGAGGGAACAGGCCGGCTCTTCTTTGAGTTCTACCACCTGCTGAATTATTCACGACCCAAGGAAGGTGATGACCGGCCATTCTTCTGGATGTTTGAAAATGTTGTAGCCATGAAGGTTGACGATAAGAGGGACATCTCGCGCTTCCTGGAAGTAAGATGACATGATAGGCAGAGCCAACCTAGGTGGGGATGAACTTATAAGCACTTAGAAAGCAAAGCAAGTCGCCAGATCTGGACTATTTAAGTATTAATTTATTTAATTCCATTTGTTGAGAGTAAGATAGGTGAGAAAGGAAACCATCAGGTACAGGACAGTATCTGTAGTCGACAATGTGGGAGCCCAGCGCCCTTCACTACTGTACAAGCTGCTGGGCCAGCCAGATAATGGTTTCTGAGCTTTTCTTGGCAATCTCTGTATAGCATGTTCTCTAGTACTCTGTGTACTAAGGTATACCTTCCTTAGGGACCTGCAAGTCTGATTTCATTACCTACCAGTAACATGGAAATTGGCTGCTCCCTGTAGGAGAGCTTTCATACCCCTTCCATAACCAGGGTTCTTTTACTTGCCACATTGTGAAGTTTTTTTTAATAATTTTATTTATTCATCCATTTATTTTAATTTGACCAGAGAGAACAAAAGTCAAAGCAAGCCACCAGTTCCGGAACTTAAACCATGGTTGGCAATGTGGGTGTGTCCAGTGCCTTATCCACCATGCCACTCACTGATCCCTCTAAATAAAGTCTTTTTAAACATTACTTATTCCGTGAGTGAAGTGGGGAATATACACACACACACACACCATGCCCAATAGACTATGCATGTTACACTTCGCCCCAAGACTCTGTCCAGATCATAGTTACATGTGCCTGCTGTCTTAGAATAGTCTCTGACCTTGAATTAGAAACCTTCCTAAGTATGTCTGCAGCATAGAAGATTGCATTTTCCTCCTGTGTCACCATCCTGTCCCCGACACCTGCTTACTCTCCCCACAGTGTAATCCAGTGATGATTGATGCTATCAAGGTGTCTGCTGCTCACAGGGCCCGATACTTCTGGGGGAACCTACCCGGGATGAACAGGTAATTAGGGGTTCAAGTGGGATAGGCAATATAGCCTTTTCTCATGTTCTGAACTTCTAGAGAGCAGACCCTGTTTAGAAATCATTCCATCGTCGGTAGTTGACCAATATGTGACATTAGGGATTGAATTGTGACTTTATTTGCAGGTAATGTGTCAAATCATGTTTCAGGACTCCTCAAGGTTATTCTTGACTTGTTCCAATAGTGCTAGATCTGAAAGTACCATGTGCTGGAGACAGATCCCAGTATCTGCTGCTCTCCTCCTCAATCAGGATGTCTGTAAACCTTGTCCCAGATCTGCCTCACTCAGGGGTCCTCTGACCATCACAAAATGCAAATAGGTATTAGAGGTACCTTTCCTCCTGCCCTGAGATACAGTTAGGCCAAGAAAAGGACTATGGTGACAGACAAGGTAACAGAGCTGAGATGACAAAAGGGTGGCCCCAAAACCATCTCCCTTGGATTTTCATTTTTTGGGGTGTGTTTTTTGAGATAGGGTACATGCTCTTGCTGGAGATATAGTTAGGCCTAAGTGAGAAATCACCCCTCAGGGTACTGGGTATTGCCAAAGTCCCTTCTCCTGGGACCTTGGGCATGAATTCACAGTTGGCCAGCATTTGCATGTGGGAGTTCAGAGAAATAACCACGATCTCATCCGCACGGCCCCCTGTCTTGAGTTTTGTGAACCAAGAACATTTTCTTCAGAAAGCAACAAAGGGAGTCATTATTCTGAGGTTAAATTATCTCTCCCCTAAATGTGGTATCATGGAGAAGTTCCTGATTAGCATGTAAAATGTTACATCCCAGACAAAAAAGTTAAACTTCAATTCTCCTTTAGAAGGAAGCAAAACCTTCTGTATTTAGCAAAGGGTAGACTGACGTGGGTTTGAGAGAAGTCTCAAACATTTTTGTGGCATTTTCTCCATTAGCTAATTAGCTCATCACATCGTACCAAGTCCATGTTAAATGAATTGCTTCATTCAACTTGCGAGCTCTCATAAATCCGTGCACTTAAGTGTCAAACGCATGGCCAACCTTGCCTCATGGGTTTGACATGATATTTGTGTTCGTAGAGGACTGATTTCAGGTTTATGAGTCTGCGTGGGGATACTACTGGAAGGATGAAACCTATCCACAGGGTCATAAATAAAAGAATGAAGCCATGCAATTGTGAGCACTTCCAGGTAGAAGATCATGAGTGATGAGGGGTAACAAGCAGGGTATCACCCACAAATTAAGGACAAAGCTCCTGAGGTAGTTCAGGTTGAGAGGGAAGGGTAGAGAACATGTCTAAGGCCAAGGAATGTGGGGCTTCCATGTGATACCACTCAGGTACATTGACATGTGAAGTTATAGGAGGTTTAAGAGGATGGGATTTTCTTAGGTCATAGTAGTTTCTCAATTGAGAGTTGACCCCAGGACCAGAAGAGAAATGCGAGATAAGATGGGTGTCTCAGAGGAGTGATGATAGTAGTATATGTGTGTGGTCACCGGAGAACCATCCGTAAGAGACACATTAGCTGTGCTATCTCACATTTTGCTTATTGGTAGGAAGGGGTCAGATTGAGGATTTTACATTTAGGTATTCATGATGCATTAGATGATCTGAGGAGTGGTATGAAATGTAGCTCAATGAGGTTATAGGGAACAGAGCTATTAGACTCTCTGCATGGGTGCAAGAGGGATCTGTCAAACATGAGAAGAAAGGGAGAGATACTCAATCTATTGGGTTTGTTCTGCACTTGGTTCACTAGGCAGGACTGTGCCTATCCCTTTTGATCTCAGGGGAATGATGGAAACAGGATAGGATGACATTTGAAACCTGAAAGGGTAAAGGAAATATCTGGAAACCCTTTCTGTGGCTATCCATCCCTATCTCGAGATTCTTTGCATTCTCATGACTATAGTCCTTAGCTCCATAGTTTCCAGCACAGGGGACTTGTGCTGAGCAACTTAGTAGGAATCTGCCTACCTTCTCATCTTATGGTCTCTCAGGAAGGGCTCAACTACTTCACAGTCTTTCCCTTGCCTTTTTTAGGCATCTGTGTGCCTCTCTATTCTAAAACAAATTCCAAGGCTGAAAGTTAAAAGGATACTAGCATAGTGAGCCATATCCTATGAAAGGACACCTGCATGCCCTCACACCCACCCACAAAATCACAGAGGTCTCTTCCAAGCTTGTCACTTGACAGACACCAAGCTCAAAGAGATGATGTGGCTTGCTCACAGTGTCCAGTGTGATTGGTTCTGGAGGAGTCTCATGATTCCCTGTCCACCTCTGTCTTGCTTAACTACAAGGAGTTATTAGGGACAATTAGCTCCCTGACATTAAGCTATCCTTGATAGCTGCTCATCCATCCCTACTATGGGAGCACACATTTTCTGCTGATACTGGGGTCATTTTTAGAATAAAATTATATATCTAATTTTATTTTTTGTTATTTTAAAATGTGACCAGGGAAGCAAGGTGGTATAGAAAATGAGAAAGCCAGCTTCTTAGGTCCAGGACTCAAACCCCAGTTGGCCATGTGTGAGTCCATTCCTTAACCACCCTAACATAACCACCTTGCCACCTGCCAGCCCCATGATGGTATCATGTTGACCACAAGTTCACTGTGAGGGCACTGTTCTTTTTCTTTTTTTAGGGGAGATTTTTGGGTATAGAATGTGTGTGCTTGACAACAAGCCAGAAAGCAATAAATCACCCGGCCATGCTACAGTTCCTTTTCCATTCTCCTTTTAGAGTTTTGGGCACACACGATTGGTGTGCGCTTTTAGCCGCTGGATTTGGGAATATATGGGAGTCCAGTAACATAAACCTCATGCCCTCTACTGGTCCCGTGAGGGCACCTTTTTATAGCAGAGGCCCTCACTCCCATCTTGTGAGGTGCATAGCCGTGGCCACTTTACAGATGGTAGAAAGTAATGGGTTTTGGCTGTCCCCAGGCCCGTGATAGCATCAAAGAATGATAAACTCGAACTGCAGGACTGCTTGGAATTCAGTAGGACAGCAAAGGTAAGCAGCAGCCCTCTGAACCATGCACTTGGAGATGACCCTGGTGTCCACGGCTCCTACTCCTCCCCACCATGTGACTCCCTGGTGCTGGGCCTCTCTTCCCACGTAATTGTTCTCATGTGCCCTCAAGTACAGAGTAGGACACGTTCTTACTAATAAAAAAGGAATCACTGAAAGTCAGCTCAATTTTTTTTCCCCACAATTCTTAATGCTGTATACACTGTAACAGAATTTCAGCTGGTGTCCTTCTTTGGAAAAAAGCTTTGACCAAACAAATACCTGCTCTCAGGTGGCTTTTCTCTATGTTCATATCAACAAAGATACATTCATCTAAACTCTTGACTGTTCTGAATCAGGATGGTTTCTACTTTTTAATTTTGCTTGAAGAGTAACCCCTATCTTGGCTCTGATATGATCTTGTTCATGGTCACTTCTCTGTCTCTTTTCCAAGGCTGGTACATCCTGTTAACTTTGTATTTATGGGAAGCACGTAATGTCCTTATCCCTCCAGCTCTGCCTATGAGCCCAGGCCTGTCACACTCTCCCACACCTCCTTTCCCACTTCCATTTGCCCTAGATGCTTTTGCCCTTGACCCTCCCCACAACCTTCATTCTGTGCTCACTCCATGGTTTCATTTTGTCCTCCAGTTAAAGAAAGTACAGACAATAACCACCAAGTCGAACTCGATCAGACAGGGGAAAAACCAACTTTTCCCTGTTGTCATGAATGGCAAAGAAGATGTTTTGTGGTGCACTGAGCTCGAAAGGTGAGCAAGGCTGCACTTAGAATGAGAAAGGGTAAGGACATGTGGTGAGGACAGCGACATGAACGGGCAGCTTCTGGCATCACAAATTCACTGTCCTCCTGGGTTGGTATGACTGGGAGGAATGCTTTTCCTAAATCAGTCCTTCTTTCCATGCAGAAATGGCAGAGGGGTGGTATGCAGAATCTAATAAGGTCATTAGACAGTACATTGTGTATGAGCGGGTTGCACTTGCTGACAGTTGCCTGTCCTAATGTGCTAGATTTCTAGTATGGATGTATCAGTTATAGAAACTCAGAGATATGCCATTTTGCTAAGATACCCATTCTGTAGGTGATTTTTACTTAGCCACAGTCTATCCTGCTACTAAATTATTTGGCCAAGTTTGTTTATATAAATGTGTGTGTGTGTGTGTGTGTGTGTGTGTGTATAAGAGAGAAAGAGAATGTAAGAATATTACAGGGCCCTTTAGCTGCAATCTACCCCCTCTCAGCCTGGAACATTGGGACATGTATACCTTGTGTAACCATGCAGGACAGGAACCAACCACCTTCCCATTGTTTTCATAGTTGCTGTGCCATTGTCCTGCCATTATTTGTCTATTTTGATGCAGAGAAAGATCCCTCTGGATTTCATTTGTCTTGATGGTGTGTGCATATGATGTGTACATGGACTGTGCACCCCCTCATGGAGTGCAGTCAGGCTGCAATCCACTATTCATGTCCATCCATCGGGATTCTGTGCTGGCACACGTGTGCCTGGCATAGACCTGAGGTGGCTCTGACTCCACATACATCCACCGTCCTCTGGGACAGACCCTTTTTGTTCGTTTTGTTCTTTCCTATTGTTAGTAATGTAGTTAAGGCTATGAATTTTCCTCTTTATATATTTTTGGCTGTATTCTGTTTAACATTACATTTTAATTTTAGATTTTTAGTTCAGTAACTAGTTTTAATTCTTCATAAGCTTAGTAGAAAGTTTCTTAGGATAATAGTAAATTCTGATTGGGCAAAGTAATCTGTCACTTTAAGTAATAAGAAATTACTGTTATATGTTCTATTTGTGGTGTCCATGCTATCTTTTGATAACCCAGGCATACCCAGTAGAGCTCAATATATACTTAAGTTGTAGAAGAGGGTGTTATAATGTAGGCACAGAGGAAAAGCAAGACGTAGGCATGAAGGGTTGTACCTTCAGGATGTTGAATACCTATTCGGCCATTGATGTGCTCTTTAGTATGGGATTAGAAACCTCAGTAATTTTGAGGCTCCATGTACATGCAACATATTACCAGGCCTGGTAGAAATCCCCTTGTAGAGGCTCTAGATGTCTTGTGATGACATTGTTCCTGAAGTGTAATTTCACTCTTAGTCCAACAACTTGGATTGAAAAGAGAAGGCAAACTCAGTATTCCGAGGTACCCACACTGTGATTTTACCTGAGCCTTTTGTTGATTGAAAATCTAATGCTTTGAAGACCTTGCTTCAAGTTCCCTCCATGGTTTTTCAGACATGTCCATGCCTGCTTTCTTACTGGCTGACTTGTCATGCACCATACATGCACTTAATGCATTTTTATGTTTATTCAAGTCCCCTGAGCTCCAACCATGTGCCAGGGACATTGGTTGAAGTAGTACAGATGTTTTCCCTCATTAGTCATTTTTGAGCAGGCATTCTTAAAAGAATCCCAGGACCCAGACCTCTTCTGAGTGTCAAACGAGACCTGCTTGGCCTGACTACAGGGTGTACCAGAACTAGGGGTTACCTTGTCCCTCCTGGCTATACTGAGGACTTCCAGAGACTCTTGCATGTGTTGGATTGCTCTCCTGACCGCTTATCTTTTTGCCTCCCTGCTCTTCCAGGATCTTCGGCTTTCCTGTCCACTACACGGATGTTTCCAACATGGGGCGAGGTGCCCGTCAGAAGCTGCTTGGGAGGTCCTGGAGTGTGCCAGTCATCAGACACCTCTTTGCCCCCCTGAAGGACTACTTTGCATGTGAATAGTTATTCCCAGGTGCTAGGAGCACTGTGGTGCAGGGCAGAGCCAGGGGCCAGAACTTTAACCTGTTGTGCCCTTGTTCATTTGTGTGGGGTCTCACTGTACCTCAGTTCTCTCAGTGAGAGCAGAGCTGCCCAACCATCTCTCTTCCATGGGGGAGCCCGAGGTGCTACCTCATTGTGCACAATTCAGACCTGGCTGCTTGGAGTGGCCAAACACGGTGCTCATTTTCACTTGTAAAACTTTAAAACTTGAAGTAGGTAGTATGATGGCTTTCCCTTTTCCCTCTCCTGGGTTGACCACTCAGTAGCAATGGCTAAGATACCAAAACCACAGTGCCACAATGCTCAGGTTGATGCCAAAAAAAATCACCCAAGACAGTTACTGCAAGACTAATGTTTTTAAATGTCTCCTGCTTCATGTTTACAGGAGTGGGCAGCTGTAGACAAGTAGTTAGAAGACATTTGAAGAGCCCAGGATGTTTTTCCCAGGCCAGTAGAAGGGGAAATGAGGTCTGTCTTTGCAGTTTACCCAACATCTTTATGTTGCCTCAGTACAGGGCTGTAGTTTGCTGACTGGGCCCATGGAGTCTTTTCTATAGAAATGATGATTTCAGCAGGGATGATATCATCATCGCTTTCAGGGCTACTTGGCCCCACAGACCCAAGTGAGGGGCCACCCTTAGTGACTGCAATAGAACCCTCCAGGGAGCTCAGGAAGGGGTGGCCTGAGTTACATATGGTGCCCTATATTACATAAGAACGGCTTCTCCATTTCCTTCCTTCCCTCTGAGGGCCATTCTGGAGGAAGCTTTTGGAAGACTCCTCAACCCTTGTCAATATCCCCTCTGAACTCCTCCCCAGGCACAGGTCCCCAGATTAGATGTCTGACACCCTAATTCCTCATCCTTCTATATGAGGAAGCAGGAACAATTAGGGAAAAAGCACATTCCTCACTTTCCTCTCATCTAAGAGATGGCAGGGAAAAAACACAATAAAAGCTCAGGCCTCCCTCCAGAGATTTTAAAGTTGTTTTTAAATTCACAATATGACATTTTAGTGATCTGGAGGTGAGACAAGCTGCATTTCAGAAATGCTGTTGTAATGGTTTTTAACACCTTTTAATTCTTACTGGTGCTATTTTGTACAATAAGAAACAATGTTGACAAGTTTGGTGCAGCTTTTTAAATCCTTTTTTTTTTTAAATCTCAGATTCTATTTTTATTTTTTAACATTTTCTTCAAAATTTTTTTAACTGGAGCCACATAACAAATATGGGGGAAAAACTGTGCCTTTTTTTTGACAGTTTTTGCTAATGTTTAGGCTGAATGATAACGGATGCCTAGAGTTTACCTTATTCTGTTTAATTAAAAGCAGTATTTCTCTATCACAGTCTGGTGTTACTTTTGTTCTTCTGTAGGTGGGTAGGAAAGGCTGGTTCTATTGGTGTTTGTGCTCATTTATTGAAATACAGTGGAGGGCTACCATGGTTGACTATCAGCTTCCCCTCTCCTGTGGTTGTCCTCAGATACTAGGGCCTTTATCTCTGGAAGCTTTGTGTACTGGTGTGATTGCTGGGGTCAACCTGCAGAACTTGACTCAGAAACTAGGTTGGGGCCCAATGAATGAATGTCTGTCCTGATCTGCAGTGCTGGAAGCCATATGGCCAACTGTTTCTATTCTAAGTTGACCTGGTCCTGGTGAGCTAGAATGCTGGTGGAAGGTAAGGACAGCAGGACAACAGGTTGCCTCCCCCATTTTTATATTGACCATTTGGTAAATGCTCTCAGAATTTGCTCTTGGGCGAGGGACTACACTGGACTAATGAGAGGTTATCTAAATCTTGGTCCTTCAACATAAGTGATGTCTGGGCAGCCCATGTCTAGCCTGTGTTTCTAATAAGAGATATGCTCCTCCAAGAAGGTGTAAATGATGGGATTCACACCTGTCCTTAACCAAATGGGATCCATAAGAATATGTGTGTGTTCACTATTAGTCTTATAGAGACACATTTGGATGGAAACCCAAGACCTCATGCCTTCATCATTGGAGAGTGCTGCTGCACCACTATACCTAGCTCAGGCTTTATTAAAGCTCTTTGAATGCTGATCCAAGACAGCCACTCAGAATTTAATTGAAACTCCACTGTTTCTCACCTTCCTTAATGCTTCTGCAGTATTCAACAAAGTGTATATCCTTTTATCTCTGTCTAAATACTGGCTCTTGGGACCAGCAGTTAGCGTAATGGCTATGTTGCTGGATTCCTATGTAGTCGACCACGGTTTAAGTCTGACGGCTTAAACTCATGCCATATGTGTGCGTGCCCAAGATCCCAAGAAGGAATGGAGGAGAAGGGATTGCAGCATGGCCATTAACCTTCGGGGGTGATTTCTCCCTTTCTATCTCTCTGTGTCTTTCTGGCAAGCACAGGCCCTCTAGCAAAAACCTATAAAAAAAGGCTCTTTATTTAATTTCATTTATTATTAGTGTTCAATTTAAGCGGAGAGAGACAGAGGGAGAGTGTGAAACCAATCCCCCAAGTCTGGGACTTGAACCATAGTTGTCCGTGTGTGAGTCCAGCACCTTAACCACCATGCCACCTGCAAGCCCCAGCATTGGCTCTTAATGAGCCTCAGGATAAAATTCTATCTGAATCTGCATTTGTGTGTGTGTGTGTGTGTGTGTGTGTGAGAGAGAGAGAGAGAGAGAGAGAATTTGACCAGAGAGAAAGAAGGAAGTAAAGTCCAGGCCTCTAACTGCTGTTTGCAATGTGGAATTACTTTAATTTGACCAGAGTGAGGCACACTGGGGTTGGGGAGTGAGAAATGATGTCACTTTGGCTGGGTCTTGAACCATGGTTGTTCATGGGAGTGTACAGTACCTTCCACCACACCACCTGCTGATCCCTGCCATTCTCATTAAAGAATTTTAATTAGTGAGGTAGGGAGGGAGTGTAAAAGAGAAAGTGAAAAAACAAGACCCAAGATTCCCAGCCATCAGTTGGCCACATGGGAGTCAGGTCCCCTGCCATTCTTACACTGCAACTAACCATTCCCTCCAGCTCTGCTTACCTGGTTCACTCAGACAGATTTCCTGTGTTTAGAACCCATGACATACTTCTCTCACTATGTTCAGACTTTGGTTAGGGGAGGAGCTGGTGAAAACTTGCCAGTGGTCGATACTACTTAGCTGTTGCTGGCTGAGAAGTGGAAAGTATGAACTAGAGGCAATAAACAGTCTGCCCTCCCTCCAAGCCTGTCTTTTGGGTGTGTCTGGTGGGTTACAATCACAGTCACCTTTCCACAGTTCTATGCCTTGAGGTCAGGGTCCTAAAAGGTCTGACTCAGCTGCTACCTTTGCTAAGCTTTGGGAGTGGGAGGATGAGAAACCAAACAAGTCATTAAAATGGTGCCTCTGGGCTACAATAGTCTGCTTGCTGGTTGCTATGGTGAGACAACTAGTAATTAGCAAGCTGGGCCCACATTCTTCCCTGAGGTGTTCAGACCCCAGAGGCCCTGGACACCCAATTAAGCCATATTGTGTTCATTGTCACCCCAAATGCCAGGACAGGATGAAGCGAAATAAACAGCCCCGGCCTCGAAACACCAAGAGAGGAGATGGACTAGCCCTTCAGGTGAGGGCTCATTGATGTCCCACCCTGCTATGGGACAAGCTTGCGAGAGGCCTAGTGGTGGGAGTTTCTAAGGGGTTTCGGAATGGGGCCAGACTGGTCTGAGTGGTCACAGGCTCATGGCTAAGGAGAGGAGCTGTTGAAAATCCTGACTCCTGAGGGAAGAGTGGGGCTCACATCCCATTCCTGGGGCCTTTGCTGAAGTTTCCTGGCGGCTTGAGTGTACTCAGGGTCCTGCCTGTGACCTAACCTCTTGGAAGATTTCATCTCTCATCTAAAAAGGCGAAAGTAATAAATAGGGCTTACTTTATAGGGTTACTGAAGTACCAGGACCAGATCTAGGTTAAAATTGTGTACCTGTGGCCCGGCAGACAATAAGCCCTTTACATGTGTTCAGTGACAGTGTGAAAAAGCTATTAGTAAATGCCTTGTTAATGACAGCATACACTTCGTGCTGATACTAATAGTAATACCAAATGCTTATTCAAGTTTTAAGAACACTACTATTTCTCAGTGTTGCAATTATTTAAAAAAAAATGGCTGGCATTACTGGGGTTAATAATCATGCATTCATCTTTGTACCTGATGTGTGCTTGGCAGAAAGGAGAGAGAAAGAGAAAGTGAGAAATCACTCCATGGGGGGATAGCTATGCTGCAATCCCTTCTCCGTTCTCTCTGGATTTTGGGAATACATGGCATGTGTATCAAACGTTTTTCAAACAGTTGGGTCTGAGACTCAAATCATTCAACTATATTGGTCCATCCAGTTTAAATGCCATTGCCACTGGTTGGCCCCAAACACTTTTTTTAGGTCAATAAAACGATCATAAATTTGTAAACTCAGGCCTTGAAGTAAAAATTTTTTGTTTTATTTTTGAGGAAAGAATTTCTGTGAAAATGAGACATAACTTTTTAAAAGTTATTTTATTTAATTTTATTTATTCATTAACTGATTTTAAATTGACCAGAGAGAGACACAGAGACAGATAAAAGGGGAGGGGGGCAGAAAGCAAGCCACCTGGTCCAGGACTCAAACTATGGTCAGCCATGTGGGAGTGTCCAGCACCTTAACCACCCCGGGACCTGCTGGTCTTTACATTTTTAACAGTTGCCTAAAATCTCCAAAGCTATTTCTCTTGGGTGAAGATTCTCTTTTAAGATTAAAGTCTGTTTTGACAGATTCTGTTTCTGGCTGGCTTAAAACAGTTCTGAATAATTCAAGATTGTGCCTGGTTTAAGGTGGTTCTGGTCTGTTCTGTCTGGTTCTAATTGGCTCCAACCTGCTCAGACCAGCTCAAACTGGGTCAAACACATTTAAAATGGTTCTTACTGCCTCTAACCATTTCTGACTTGATACAGATTCAAATCAACTCTTAACAGTTCAAGCCGATTCTGACTGTTTCTGACCAGTTTTGACTGGTTCAAGCTTGTTCAATCTGGTTGTGAGTGGCTCAAATTGGTTTTGACTTATTGAAACTGGTTCTGATCAATTCAAAGTGGTCACAGCTGGTTATGTCTGCTTTCAAGCTGGTTATGAAAGATTCTGACCAGTTCTGGCTGCCTCTAACTGGTCCTAACTAGCTCAAACTAGCTCAGACCATAACTGGCTCTAACTGGCTCAAGCAGGTTTAAAACAATTTTGACTAGTTTAAGACAGCTATGGCTGATTTTGACCTGTTCAAGTTAGCACTGTTTAAAAAAATAAATAAATAAAATAGTTAGCTTCTTGAAAGAGTAACTTTCACCTAGCTCAATTGGTTCAGGGTGATTTGATCAAATTCAGACCGGTTGAATCCAGTTGAGACTGGTTTGTATCAGTTTGATGCAGTTCAATCCACTTCAGGCTATTTCAATCTTTTTTTTTTTTTTCTTTTTTTGGAGAGGTTTTTGTTATAGGGCATGTGTGCTCGCCAGACAGAGAGAAACAGAGAGATAGAAAGCGAGAAATCACCCCCCAGAGGGGATGGTCACGCCGCAATCCCTTCTCCTCCATTCTCCTCTTGGGATCTTGGGCACACATGCACACATGCCTGGCGTGATGTTAAGCCACCGGATCTAGGACTTGAACCGCGGTAGACTATGTGGGAGTCCAGCGACATAGCCATTACACTAACTGCTGGTCCCAGACTATTTTGATCTTGCTCACACTTGTTCAG